TAATACTAGTTATATATTTATTTCTATCCTGCCTTTTTCCAGTTCAAATCAGGACTCAGAGCAGCTTACAACATATTAAAAATATATCATTAAAAAAGTTAAAATGAGATTGAACAATAAAAAAACAAAATAAAACTAGATTAAAAAAATATACCATTCACCCCCACCCCCACCTCCCCATACCTACTCCTTTAACCTTCTTTTCTTCCAAAAGCCTCAAGACCCCAGCTTTGCTTAACTTTCTGACCCAGGTAGTGCTCCAGCCTCTCTTTGATGCTTATGAGTGACCACAGCCTGGCCTGGTAGTCTCTATTGACCTGAGTGTTGGGAGTGAAAAACATTTTGAAGTTGCAATACTTTTAATTCAATACCTATTTTCCATGATTCCCTAATCATGATATTTATTGCTATGTGATAAAAAAAGGAGTTGATATGAACATGAGCTATGGAGACATTTTTAAGACATGCTACTGTCAAGGCTAAATGATCCCTCATGTAAATGCATCAGAATGTGTGAAAGCACATACATGCAAGAAAATACTCAATGGCTGACACCCTGTATGGAAGAGCGTAGCATAATTGCTCCTTATGTGAAAGTATGCTTCATTTGTCCACATCCCCTGCATTCACCATATAGCCACTGTAGCCGTGACTGTTGGAGATAAATGTTTGGCAATATTGCCATAGCCATAGCCAGACACAGAACGATCACATCATCCACTGCAATCCACAAATAGTCCTTTGGCCATGGGGGCATAACCAGATGCTTCTTCAACTCACTCACTCCACTCTCTGCCAGCCATGGAATGGCCAGAGGGGACTGTAATGGCTAAACAGTAAGTCAAAGAGAGTTGGTGATTGAGGAGAATGGAAGAAAGTGATGAAAAAGAAGACATATGCAGGTGTAAGGTGGACTTGTGCCTGTGTGTCTCTTAACTGGATGTCAGCCAGTGATAGTAATCACATGGAACAGCTTGTCTGGGATTTACAACTTTCAGAATTTTATGTTTAAATGATTCCTATGTATAATACTTCCATCAGTGTATGCAGTGGCTACATCATAAAGATAAGTAAGATAAATTATTTTCTTTCATCTGTTAGTTTTCTGAGCACTAGGAGCTTTTTTCCATGGAAGTATTTTCAGTTCTGTCAGACTTCAGTCCAGTTGTTTTTACCTGTAACTGGTCTTCCACTTTGGACAGAGATAATGGGACCTGTACTATGTCTGGTGGTACAGCCATACAGTTCAGAAAAGCCCATGCTGTGTGCATGTAGATGAGTCAGAGAATCTCACGACACAATGGAATGAGTTAATATTGGACATGATTTTGCATTTATATCTGCTTGCTTTCTCAAATGTAGGTTGCTTGCTTTTTTTAAAAGCATGGACACAGTGAATGCTTTGATTTTACAAAGCAATCCACATTACGTCTGCAAGACATGAAAATATTTTATTTTTCTTCTTCTTGGAGATCCCCCACTACCATGAAATTGAGAATGAGAATACAGTTAGTATTCATGCGAATGGTTAATGGGCCTAAATAGCTGGAGGAAGTTATCATCTTTCTGGTATTGATGTCTAAGAGAAGAGTTTTGACTAAAATACAATATTGATTCACATTTTGAGATTTTTCCATGAGTATTTGGAACTTAATTTGGGAATGAATTTAGTCCCTTGAGACTGTTGGCAAATACACAAACTAATAAAAAATAAACCATCTGTTTAAATGTCAGCCAAATTATTAAATCATATTGAAATAGCAGACAGTGACGTCATAGAACACATGAGATAACAATATGTTAGATTGTCATTAATGAAAAAATAATCACCATGACAGTATGTTTTAAAAAATGAAAAATTAGCAGCCCAATCTTATACAGAATGATTAGGCAAAATTTCTACATGAAAAGATATTCCACCTAAATATAAGAAAGAACTTCCCAATGGTAAGAGTTGTTTGACAGTGGAATATGCTGCCTGGGAGAGTTGTGAAGTCTCCTCCTTTGAAGGTTTTTAAACAGAGGCTGGAACGGAATCTGTTGGGAATGCTTTGATTGTGTATTCCTGAAAGAGGGTTGGACTGTTTGGCCCTTGTGGTCTCTTCCAACTCTACAATTCTATGAGATCTACTCAGAGGTACCACTGAATCGTACGGGGTTTACTCATAGTTAGCCATAATAGAATTGATGTTTAAGTTTCACAAAATGTGGGAACAGGCAAAGCTGCTGGCGCTGTGATCACCTCCACTTAGGATGAACTGTTTCTGAATGGCTTTTCAGTGAAGAAACTTGCACACCACCTTTGCCTACCCAGACTGATCAATTGATTGTTTTTAGTAGGAAAACATGTAAAGGTCTTTCAATTCTAAATGGTCCTTGCTCAAAAAACAAGAAGCATGTGAGATTTTGTGCACATCATCCTCTGGTTGGCCCTCTTGGTTTGTCTTGATTGTTCTTTCTTCTTCATAAGTGGTTTATTTTGGTTGTTTCCAACTAATGGCAACCCTAAGGCAACTCTGTCACATGATATTCTTGGCAGGTTTCTTCAGAGAGGGGTTGCCATTGCCATCCTCTGAAGCTAAGAGATTGTGGGCCTCGGCAGACGACTAAAAGAGTCATCTTCCGGGCAGGGAAGAGGAGGGGCAGCCGCACGAGCGGCGCCCCTTCCTCTCCCCGAGGTCGCCCCCAGAAGCGCCGTCCGTCCGCATGGCCGGCGCACCGGGGATGACCTCACGGCGCAGCGCCCACATGCGCTGCGCCGTTTGAGTCAGGGAAAGTGCGCCCGCCGCTTTTAGGGCACACTTTCCCTGAAATCTAAAAGGAGCGCCAATTTGGTGCTCCTTTTAGATTCGCCGCAGGGGCGCTGCGGTGCGGAGCCTCCGCTCCGCCGGCGCCCCGACCCGCGGCGACTGGGAAGCAGTTGTCTGCTTCCCCCCTGTGACTTGCCCACGGTCACCCACTGGGTTTACATGGCCAAGCCGGAATTTAAACCCTGGCCTCTAGAGTCATAGTCCAGTACTCAAACCACTACACCACGTTGGCTCGCTTTCTGGTTTATCAGCTATGATTCTAATTCTCCTTATATATAATGTAATATATTATAATATATCCCATAATATACTAATAGTATATATGCTCTCCTGATTTGCAGCTTTCCAGGACACATTAGAAAGCAAGTCTGAAACTGCCCACCCCACAGCTACTACTTGGAAAAGAAGAACAATAATTTTGCTGCCTAAACTGATCACATGCTTAACTGGACTGTGACCAAACTTCATAATATAGTTTTATGAATACAGCAACAATAGTATTTTACTAAAATTGGCATAACAAAAAGCCAAATTAATTCCATTAGCTCTTCCTCACACACATGGTGATATGTATGAATGAAGTCTTTATTATTTGTTAAAGTCTGTATGATTTCTTAGTATTTTGGAAGAATAGTAATGTCTCAAATAAGAAGCCTTGCTATGGTTATATGAAAGACTAGAGGAGACAACCCACATTAGGGGAGGGACTGACTGGCTTGGTCTCATTGTTAAATCTAAATCCATTTTCTAAAAGGTTAAGTTAAATTCCTTGTAGAAAGTAAGATGTTTTCACTGAATGAGTCTCTCCTGGGAAGTGATTTATGGAGGATTAACATACATTGCAAGGCTGTTATACAAGAAAATTATAATATATAAAGAAGATTTTACATAACCTACTTATAAGGGGCTTGTCTTTTAAGTCAGCCTTCAGTCCTCCAGGCAAACCTTGTGGCTGAGGAAATCTGTGGTTGAGAAAAATGTGACTGTAGCTTTAAGGCTGTATGTGTGTGTGTGTGTGCACCATGGTATGTAAATAAAGAATTTAGGGCCTCAGCACACGGAGGCCCTGGAGCCGCCGCCGGACGGAGCGCCGCGGGGATGCAGCCTCCGCATCCCGGCGCTCCTGCAGCGGCTCTGGAAGGAGCGCTAAATCAGCGTTCCTTCCTCAAGACAGGGAAAGTGCGCCCTAAAAGCGGCGGGTGCACTTTCCCTGACTCAAACGCCGCGGCGCGTCCGGTCGCCACGGCATGAGGTCATCCCCGGAGTGCCGGCCGTGCGAACGGCCGGCGACTCCGAGGGCGACCTCAGGAAGAGGAAGGGGTGCCACTCGTGCGGCTGCCCCTCCTCTTCTGGGCCCGGAAGACGGCTCAATTAGCCGTCTGCCGAGGCCCTTAGTTTCCTCTACTTTATTGGTCTGATTTGTTAGATAACTTTGATCTTCGGTACCACTGTCTTCTTCCTTCACTTGCTTGATCCAACCTACTGTTAAGCATATTGTCCATGCTTTTTTAATTTAATAATCATTTGTCTAGTTTAATAATCTTTTAAGGGGCAGGTGTTGTAATTGGATGTATTTATTGATGTTTTTATTGTTGTAAGCCGGATAGAAATAATAATAATAATAATAATAATAATAATAATAATAATAATAATAATAATAATAATAACAACAACAACAACAACAACAACAACAACAACAACAACAACAACAATTATTTTAAAAAATAGCCCTGTTAAGGCTGTCAGCTGGGCTCTAAGTAGATTGCCATATGCCACATGGAGATGATACTTCTAGGAACAATAGATTTATTACACTTCTTGTTGTTGTTGTTGTTGTTGTTATATTTATATGGTGCCTTGTATTGAAGGCTCTCATGGAGTCAGACAATAAAATAACTTTAAACAGCTGAAAACAATGTAAAACACTAAGAATAATTTAAACAGACCAAAACCATATTAAACAATTTAGCAAATTAAACAGTTTAAGACAAAGCCATGCACATGGGCAGATTTGGATGAAATTAGTTAGGCCTTAAAGGCTTTCAAAGACTTGTTTTTATTTGGCACCAGAATGACACAAGTCTGGATGCCAGTTTGGCCTCTATGGGAAGGGTGTTCTGTGAAAGGACACTATGGCAGAGAGAGCCATTTCCCATATCTTCCTACAGTGTATTGTCCACTTTGGAACACAGAGGATCATCCTTCTAGCAAATCTCAGTCCTTGGGCAGGCGTATATAGGGAGATTTATTCCTTCAAGTATCATGGCCCCAAATCATGTAAGGCTTTAAATGTTACTGTCAGTACCTTGAATGCAGACTGAAAGCATATTGGCAGCTAGTTCAGTTCCTTTAAAATGGTGTTACATGGTTGCTATATGGTGCTTCAGTCAGCAGTCTGGTGCCTGCATGCTGCAATTTCCAAATTGTCTTGCAGGATAGCCCTAAGTAGACTGCACCGGAATAATCTAAGGAAGGAGTTACCATGTTGTGTGCTGCTGTGGTTAAGTCATCTCTGTCCAAGAAAAGATGTAGCTGGTAGACTAGTTGAAGTTGGCACCATGCACCCTGAGTCATGAGGTCCACCTGGGCCTCCAGTGATAGAACTGTATCTACAACACCCAAGCTACTCTTTATTTCCCTCAAGCAGAGTGCAGCCTCATCCAGGGCAGGCTGCTTATCCAGTTCCTGGGCCCATGAACCACCAATCTACAGAACTGCTCTTTTACTAAGATTCAACTTCTATTTATTGGCTTCAGCCAGTCCATTACAGCACCTAAGAGATGGTTCAACATTGCCCAGGTTAATGGACATGAGGCTGAAAAGAAATCCTACAGTGTCATTCTCTGGAACCCGCCTTATAGATAGGAGTAGAATCACCATAAAGTAGTGCCTCTTACTCCTATGTCAAAGAGCTGGTCCAGTAGCAGTGGTACCAAAAGCTGCTGAAAGATCCAATAGGATCAATATGGTAACACTCCCTGTCTTTCACCCTGAATAGCTTGTCAGTCAATGTGATGAAGCCTGTTTCAGTGCCATGTCCTGTGCTGAAATGGGCTGATAATCTGCTTTCTCCAAGAATGTCCAGAACTGACCAGCCACCACACACTGAGCAATTTTGCTGGAAAATGGTTTAGTTAGAAGATGGTAATTCTCACATACCTCTGGATCCAGGGAAGTCCTCTTCTGGATAGGGCACACTACTAAATAAAAATCTACTAAATGTGAAGGTTCAAGAGGTACATGCTGTCGATACATTGCCTTCTGGTGGTGATGCCAAAATGACAGTGACAATTTGTTTGTTTTTGTCTTGTCTTTCTTCCAGTGCATCAGGTGTAAACAAGGTAGATTACAACATGAATTAAAAGAAAATACAGCTAAAATCCAATAAATTATACTATCAAAGAACAATTAAATAAGCTCTTTATAACATTAAAGAACAATTAAATAAGCTGTCTTATTAAAACCAAACATTAAATTTAAACAATTTTGAAACATTTTAAAAACTTAACAAGAAAAGGGAGGGAAGTACAACACCCATCATTAAAAGACATGTACTGTGTTTTGTATTCACGGTACTGGCATTCAATTAATTTATGACTTTTGGTCACACACACACACACACACACACAAATGTTTTTTTTAAATGAAAATTCTCATGGTGCCAAATAGAAGTAGAATCAGGAATAAACAAAAAAATTTCAGGACAACCATTACAAAGTAATGTTAAGCAGAAGTAACAATCAATGCAACCTGGTTTAGCAGCAACAGAAAGTAATCAAAGCTTAAGCATAAGCAGCCATCCACTGCTAAAAGTATTCCTATACATCCATGTCCCTCCCAGTGAGAAAATGTTAATACTTGAGGGATGAGGAGGAGAATATGCTACTGCTTCTTTGTTGATAATGGGCATCTTGGAATTATGCAGTTTCATTTGTTTTTCCTCACTCACCCTGCCGAAGCTCATGTCTGCTAAACACTCTCCTGCTGCTGTTTGGTATTGCTGTACTCCATCCTTCAACCTGCTGCCCTCTAAATGTGTTGCACCATGACCTCATCACACTCAACATACTTCACCAGCAATGCACATTGGTTAGAAATTATGGTCATTGCAGTCCAGCAAAATTTGAGGTCACTTGTTTGGACAATATTGCTTCATTTTAACCTGGTGAAACAAAATGTTGCAGTTAGAACAAAAGAGAAGTCCAGTGCAAGAACGAGAGATGAAACACATTCCTTTGGGCTGAGTTCTGTGTTTTGCTATTGGTACAGAACAGATTAAAAGTGCATGCAGCTCTTTTATTTACAAATTTTATGTTGGGGGAAAAAATAAACCCCAGCCTATTGTTAGTCCTAACCCAAGTAGATCCACTGAGCCAATGGTTAACTTGGTAAATCAGCAATTTTGTAAGTCGCATTGATTTAATGGGTCTGATGTAGAAAGGTTTTAACATGTAGCATTTAAGCCCACCAGTTTTATTGATTTTTTTGTGTTCTTGAAATCACAAGACATAAATTTTAAAGATCCAGTCACTTTAAAAGGTGGATTTTTCAGTTCAGGTGACGTATTTCCTCCTATTTATTTCAGTGTTTGTGTGTATGTGTCTTTGCATGTGCTTTGATCTTTATATACATTGATAAGAAATGCCCCATGTCTCTTGGCATTCAATCATGCCTTTTTGATACTTAGCAAGGATAGAAAATCTTCAGGCAAGTTTGCTTGCGTATTTCTGGCTTCCCACACTCTGATGCTTTTAACTCTTCAGGGAGCGCTGGCTGTTGTTTGGGAGTTAACGGTGTGCCACTGGCATTTGTAATTTTAAGATTCCTCATCAAAAACTTTTTATAGCTTCAGCTTTCAAACAAACCCTTCCTGTTATGGAAAATATACAATGGAAGCCGGGGGGGGGGGGAGTGCGCTGCATGAAAAGTCACACCACAGAGAATCTTTGCCTAGCAAAGCCTTCAGGTTGCTACAGAATAAGATGTTTCTATGAAAATGCAGAGCTTTTGAAGGGGGAAAAACCTTCTGAAGCATATTGATCGGCTCCAGGAATCAGGCTAAGCAGCTTCATCTTCCTTTTCTCTGCCCTTCTGCCCTCCAAGTCTTTCATGTACAGTGGGCACATTAAGGGAACAATGAGACCTTGGGGGTCTATTTTAAATGAACCTCTGCCCTGAGGTTTGGAATTGTGTGATAGCTAGGTGACACCATTCCCAGATAGAGGGCAGTCT